TTTTAAATTTATTTTTATCAATTCTTCAGCTATCAAGTGCATTGCACGACCTGCATTTGATGTTGTTAGAAATAATTTGAGGGTATCCCCCAGTCGGGCACTCACCAGTAGAGCACTCCTGTTATTAATTGAATTTTTGCAAAAACAATTTTGTTGGGCATTTTTTTGAGTATATATGCATATCTTGGAGTTGGTATATGACTATCACATGTGCGTATAGGATATAATTCAGAAATTAAATTTTAAAATTGTTTTAATATCTGTTACTAATTAAATGAAATACTATAAAGATATTTTAACAGCATCTTTAAAGCATTTGAAATATCGCAACTATTATAAATAGCATGCAGAATATTTAATAAGAAAATACAAGAAATACAAAGCTGTTCATAAAGAAACATAAATTTAAATTTTATAGAAGTTTGTCATCAACGTTAAAAATAAATTAGGGCATCTTTATTGAAAGGTCAGTTAGACCTTTACTAAATTTAAGTTAATTAAATGCACAATAAAATGCATGTTTAAAATACATTTTAAGTTTATTTCAGAGAGCATTTCGCAAACGACTTGATCAAAAAACTTACGTTAAACAATTTTACGCCTTGTTTTGCTTTTGTAAAGATTGTTTATGTATATTATATATATATATATGCATTTGTATATAGTTTGGCATTTGTTCAACAAGTTATGAGCGACAGTTGGCCAAATTGAAAGCGTCGTTTGCCCTTACAGCCGCCAAAAATCACAGTGCGGGTGTTTTTATGGCCATTATTGTGTGCGGTCTACAGGTGCGAGATGTATATATATATATATAGTTTATATATGTATATATGCATATAAAACAAAATTTTCCATCATTTGGCAATAGCGCTTGCAATAGCGACAAAAGCAAACTAATAGAATTAACATGGCTTATTAATGGTCGTATTTAATAATTTCTAGCCAAGAACTGAAAGTCAAAAGCAAATAAATAAGCATTAGAATGGCTTTGTGAAACATGTTCGACCAGCTTTCCAGTCACTCAATTTGCCTTTAACCGTGCTTAACAAAAGATAAACAACGACAGAAAACGAATCAAAAACTAAACAAATGCAAAATAAAGCACAATTATTTCATATGCAAACAAATTTTAATCTAATTAACTTTTGACAACAGTTTCCTGGCCACAATACGATAAGCCGCTGCCAAACATATAATTAACTCAATTTGCATTTTAAATAAAAAGTAAGAAGGGGATTACGTATATATATACAAGCCAAGTGTTTGTTTTACTCAAATTGTAATTATCGATCGATCTATTTATTGTCAATTACTGTTTGAAATTCTTTATGCTCACAGATACGCATATTTATGCTTGTAGATAATTGTGTATGCATGTAAATCTAGATAAGATAAAGATAGTTATAATATATTGTCCTTTTCTGTTGTCTGTCAATTGGAACGGCATGACTTCGTTTAGCGATACAAATTTTTACTTTTATTTTTATTTTTTTTTATTGTCGTTGTCGTTATTTCAATTCAATTTGCCGCCAATTACTTTGCATACCAGCACAACGATCCAGCATAAGGCCCCTTCTCTTTGTTGTGTGAGTCTGTCTGGAAAATTTTGTTTGTTGCGTTTAATTTAAATCAAATTTTCTTCAATAGTTTTGCTGCCCATGCAAATGCGTATTCATTTATATATATTATATTGCCTTTATAGGCTGACAAACAAACAAACAAACAAATCAGTCAGTCGGTCCTCTCTTCAAGCTCAATAAATGCTTGTGACGTTTTATGGCGCCTTCATATATGGAGACATTATTTTATTGGCCCCGTCGCTTAGTTGACGATCATGTGCAAAAATTTGTGACAAAATCAAATATAGACATTGGCGTAGCTCGGCGAGATGAGGGATATTAACTGCGGACTGTTTTGAAAGTAAAATAACATCATGAGTACTTATTGTGCATAAACCATCAGTATTTGTTGGATAATAAGATAAACCAATTGCCAAACTATATTTATTTGTAAAGTCACTTTAAAGTATTTATTAGCATTACGATGGATTTCGAGGAGGATACAAAGCTCAGCAACATGTGCTCCAAGGGATAGCGATAGTTTAGTTTGTGAAAGTATAATAAACAACGAATATTTTTTATTATTCACTAAGTGTTCATATCTAGCAAATAAACCACCATTTAGTATCGATAACCTATATAAGCTCTGATTCCATAAGCATAGATAAAACTTCAGTTGCAGAGAAACACGCCGCACATACATGTTTCAGGCAACACTTGTTTTAATCTTTAGTATTCTCGCGCTATCAATTGAAAACAAACCCATTTAAATTGCAATCACAATCGGTTTGACTTATAATGGGGCAGTTCCTTCACATAATCCCCATATCTGGCGCTTATCGGAAGAGTAGCCATGTTGACCGCTGAACTTGGCCTACATAGCATGACGTATGAGGGCGCAAAATACCCCACCCTTCGCTTCATGTCTAACAGCTGATATGCCAGCTGCCATAAACTAAAGCACCACAGCACAATATCATATTGTGTATGCATGTTTCGAGAACTTGGCTCTCAGAACGTGCTTATCGACGCCGAACTGGGTCCAAAATTATTATTGTGTAGAACTTAACGTCGTGAATATTCATTGTGCGCATTCATAAACATTTTATTACCTATTCCACAAACAGGCGGGCGGTATTTTTTTCAACATGTGACATAAAGTGACCGGTAAAGGTAAACATAAAATCAAGTCCAAATTAAGCTTGAACGAAACTTGGACACACTTTATATATTTGTAAGTAATATTAGTATTTAACGAGCTAGCTCTAAACCAAAACAAAAATTATGGCCTCAGCTGGGTCCGTGCTTACAAATTAGCTGGGAAGAAACTATCTATGTCTCAACCTAAAAATGCGTCTAGATCCATGGTTGAATTTATCACTAATTGTTAGAGAAACATTTGTGAGTTCAACTGGGTAGTGTTAGGATGCTATATAAAAAATCTGTCGATACCATTATTATCGATATTATCGTTATTATGATGTATGGATAGGTTTGTTGCAAAATGCTTTAATTTATGTATGCTTCTTAACGAGTGTCTTGCTTAATCTCTCTATTAATATAAAGGTAAATTCTTTCTTTATAGATGATTACATATATAACAATATGTTTTTACAATTAACAAGTTTGTTTCCGTATGATTCATTGAAATCGATAATTTATTTGGCCAATTACTTCTAAATTTAATATTTTAATTCTATTCGTCACAATCTGAATAATAAAGTGCTATGCTCACTTTTTGGTTGTTCCCATACCTGTTTTTGGCTGGTCTACGTTTTAGCTTTGATAAAATGCCGATAGTCTCGTTTTTGGGGGGCCTTTAAAAAGGCGGATCTAAGCATTGACACATTTCAGTTGCGGAAACTTAAGTCTAGCGTGGAGATGTCAACACTATCATATCTCTGTCTGTTGTTGTGGATGCTGTTCAACAGCTGTGTTGCGAGCCCCAAGGAAGTCGCAGTGATTAGCTTCAAATGTAATGGGTATCTGTGTGAGGAGCTGAACTATCCACTCGACTCTGAAGTCGCATATTTTACAAAAGACATCACAAAAAAACTAAATAACTATACGACCTTAGTGCTGCGAAATTCCAATTTAAATCAACTGCCTTTGAATGTGTTTCAAACACTAGACAAGCTGGAACATTTGGATGTGCAGGGCTGTCAAGTGCAACATGTGGCAGCCGAGTGCTTTGAGGGTGCTGCCAAGCTCAAGATATTGCAACTGTCCGGCAATTTAATATCTAAAATCGATGCAGCAGCCTTTGCCCTGGCCACAGAACTGGAGGAATTGAATTTGGCTGATAATCAATTAACAGATTTGCCGGCCAAGACTTTCGCTGGCCTCCACAAACTCAAACAAGTCTGGCTGCAAGGCAATCGCTTGCAAAAACTGCCAGCTGGTGTTTTTAGTCAACTGTCACAATTGCAACAACTCAATCTGGACTACAATCAGCTATCCGAACTGCCCGACGGTCTATGTGCCGATCAGGTTCAGCTGCAGCAATTTTCAGCGCGTGGCAATAGATTAAAGCAAATTGCAGCCAATGCTTTTCCATATGTGCAGCGTCTCATAATCTCCGACAATCTACAGTTGCATCGGCTGCATTTAACTGGCCACATACGTGAGCTTCAGGCTGACAACTGTCCATTGCAAAGCCTTCAACTTGATCAACCCGAACTGTTGGAGCAGCTGCTGCTTAGCAATTCCCAATTGCAAAGCTTGGACTTTTTGCGTAATGCCAGCAGTCTCTTGGATTTGGATTTGACGGGCCTGGAGCAGCTGCCCGCCTTGCCCAATCCCTGGCCCGCACAGCAACTGAAACGCCTGAGCATTTCCTATGCCAATTTCACAAATTGGCCCGATCAAATGTTGACGCAGCTGCCAGAGCTTAAAGTGCTGGACATTTGGCATAATCAGCAGCGGGAGATATATATTAAAGAAGACTTTGGTCAGCTCAATAGTCACTATATAGATGACACAAATTCAATATGTGCACAATTGGAAATGTTTGTGGGTGACACAACATTGCCCAAGCATGTAACCATATTCGACAATGAAGTAATTGGTAATACTGGAGCGTATTCTATGCAATGTCCCGGTGTTGAGTTGGCACAAGCGGAGGAGCTGGTGTGGTTTGAAGATGACTTCGATAGCTTAACATAGCTTTGACTGTAGAAATGAGCTGGCCAATAAACGCTGTTAACAAGTTTTATTAAATTTTTTACATTTTTCTTATTTTACATATTAGATAGGTGCAAGCTAAGTGATCATGCAAGTTCTTGAACCAGCAAGCCGATGATAATCGTGCCCACTCAGTACTCATTCTAGTTGATAGATAGATAGATGAAAGATAGACTCACTTGAGTCTCAGTATCAGCCAACTGATCATAGTTAATCCTTCTAGAAAAGTTATTTCTCCTAAAATCAAATGATCATCAATTTCGCATCAGGTGCTCGTTTAATGAAAATTGCTTCTTTAAGAACGCGCGATCTTCAAGTTCACAAATTATCAATATGCTAACCGATCATGGCCCATACCAAGCGTTCTCTTCTAATGAGTATCAATTTTACGAATGGATCTTATTAGTTCGGTTACTGAGCATACGATCAGCGATCGATCGTTGCACATTATTGGTGTCATGAGTGCGCAAAACTGTTGTCATTCATCTCTTGTCTGGGCTTTGCCTAGTGAGCAGCGATCGTTGGCAATCATTGAAGACGCTTGTCAAGTGCAGCGAGCTAGGCCTAAACTAGTTTGGCGACTCGGCTGAACAGCTGATTGGGCTTTGCCTTATTTATTAGCGCGTGCTTATTGGACTACAGGTGCTTTCAACTACAAAATACAACAACAACAACAACTAGAATGATGACGCAAGTCGGTTAGTAGCGGTCCCTGTGCTCCACTTTCGGATTGGACAGATTTACGCCGGGTAGGGGCACCAAGTGTGCTTTGGGCTGCTGTTGTCTATCGGGTTTTGGCGCATTAGCTACCTTATTTGATTCCCTGATTATATTGGGTGGCACGGTTATATCCAGACTATCTGATTTCTGATAAAACAAATAACCGGCAGACATGAAACCGACTAGCGACAGAGTGATTAGGGTCCAGCGCAGGCCGGAATTAAACTTCAGACCACTGTTTGGGGTAGATAACAAAATCACGAGGTTACATTTGATTGTCAATCGTAAAGTGCTAGTTACTCACAGAAACAACGTGTATTTGACCATATTGGTGTAGGTTTTGTTCAGTTGCACGCCCTCCTCCACCCAGAACATGGGCATTATGAGCTTCCGGAGATGCCGCAAGGGCTCAATGCCCTGCACAGGCTCCACATCCAGATTAAATTGTAACCGCTTAGCCGCCTGAAAGGGTGTGCCTGACATCTATTAAGAGAGTGATCGAGTTAAAACTGTTTGCTAGTCTTTTTTAACTGTCCAATATACCAGTTCAAAATCTATAAAAACGGCGTGCTCCTTCTCATTTGGATGCAGACCATCCACATCCTGTATCAGCTTGGGATCTCCATTAAGAAAATGCGGCATGGAGGCTATCAAAGGACCGCCCACACAAGGTGCTAGATTCATGGTGCCCTTGGGCGGACAGGTCTCCAAATTCTCGGGATCATCGCAGAAACAGTGCAGCTTCTCATCCAGACGCACATCGCCCAGATCTAGGGTATATCTAAGTGCAGGCATGCCATGATATGTAGTCTTCCGCTGGTAGATAGCACCCAATGAGCGGCAAATGTCTGGCGTAAAGGCCCACAAGCCCGCTTCCTGTTTCATGCCCGGCGCAAAGACCGTGGAATCTGTGCCCACAAAACGGTTACACTCATCTCCCGGCCACATGTCCATCTCTGGTTCATCGGCAAATTTAACGACCTTGCCAAGTTTTTTGTTGTTCTTGACGCCGCGACAGACTGTAAAGCGGCCAGCGTCCGAGTGATTGGCCTGAAGAGACAGGAATAAGTTTTGAGGTAAAAGCTACTCTGAGAGAGAAGTAAGCTGAAGCTATATAGTAATTCAACAATTATTTTGGTTACTACAAGACTATAATGTTTGATTGGCCATTTAACTTCGCATACAATCGTGTTGCCCGGGTATTGCTTACCTGGCCCAGAAACGAGAACAGAAAATGTGTCTGGTTGACCTGTTTGGCCTGCTTCACCTCGCCCGTGTAGAAGACCGTGCAAAGCGCCTTGGCAGCGAATTCATCCGAGGAACAGTCCACATCGATGCCACGGAAAAATAGATCCATGAACTTGGCAGTGAGAAATGGCTTTGCGTCCGGAAAGACAATCGCCAGCGCCTTGGCAACCATTTCCATCATAGCCGCACGCTCACGTTGCACGGTTATTCCAATAGACTGTCGAAATTAGATGCGATAGCCGTAAAATGTTAGAGAAATGTAGATCCGCTCGCAGTCTGGCCTGAGCAGGCGGTTCTACGTCCACCTTGATAAATAGCCAGCTAATTGCAACTCATTTACTATATGCAAAGGCAAACTCGACTCTCGACTGGGGGAAACCGCGACGCTGAGACGCAGTTGTTCATAAAGACATATAGGCTCGCGCTGGGACAGGTGATTAGTTTATTTCTTTTATGTTTTTTATTTTTTGAGGTTTTTTTTTTCAAACTGCTGTCTTATTTGATTTTTGCACAGCGATAGGTTAATTTCTACTCGCTGAGAATTTAAGTTAAGTGATTTGCATAATTTACAAGGCTAGTCTAACAATAGATTACGGGGTCTTTTTAAGTGCTTTTCAGGTAGCTCTATTGTCATTGAATTAGTATTTTAGCTATACGAACTGTTCTGTGCACAAGTGCATATCTATTTTCTCAATTATTATTCATTAAGGGTTCTACGAAAATTAGATAAATCTGAGATCTCAATAAATCGAACAATTTTAATACTATTATTAGATGTTATGTATAGTGTATGCATTTTTAAATAACAATAGACAAACACAAAAACAGGCAAATTGTTTAACAAAACTAAATACATCAATCCCTGATAATTATACAAGTAAGAGGTTCTAGTCAAGAGGCTCCCGGCTAGGGGATACCCTGATGTAGCTCACGCTGCGCGCTCGTTTGTAGAAATAAAGATAAATATAGAATAAAAAGAAGTTCCTTTGGCAGGGTTCGAACTCGCAACTGACCGCATTACTGGCTGCCGACTATTCTCACCAGCCACATCAATAACTGAGTTTTAATGAGAAAAAAAACCTAATTCAAATAGCTCAACGCGGAAGTGCGTGAATGTGTGTGTGTTTATGTTTACAGAAATTCGTGGAATTTGCGCTGCCCCAAACTCGAAGCCAGCAAAAACATGTTTTTTTTAATATCTTCTGTGTTTCTTTATTAATCTTGATAAAATTTTCTACATCTTATTGTTCTTCGAATATTCGAATATTCAAGAAGTCAATTGCATTTGAATTGTGGTTTATATTAGTGGGCAGCGTAAATTGGTATTTTTACTTGATTTATAGCTATGAGGTAGTAGCGTGAAGGTGGATGTAGCTAAACAATGAAAGATACTTGATTATTATTTGATTCTAGAAACTACATATAAAGTTTGGTGACTACCTCTTATTATTAAACAAAATTGCTCACAAACAGAATTTCGATATCAATATTTATCGATTATTTGGAAAAGGGGAAAGTTATCGATTAGCGCGGACACTAGGAAGACCTACGGCAAAAATTTCAAGTTTTGTAGCTTACGGACAGACGGACGGACGGACAGACGGATATGGCTTCCTTCTGCCTATTACATTTGCATTTGAACAAATACATTATAACCCTTTGATCCATTTTTAATGGGTTCAGGGCATAAAAAGTAAAGTGAAAGTCAAAAATTATTTATTATCTACTTTTCACTCGCTTCCTGTTCGATTTTAATTATTAAACATATTCAAATAATATTCATCCAAATTCGTAGAACTACCAAAACATTTAGGAGAAATATAAATATGCCAAACATTCCTGAATGTACTTAGAATTCCACTCTTCATACCTGTAACAATGGATGTGGTAAGGTGATAATTTCCTCGCCCGTCAGCGGACTTGAGGCCTTCTCGTTAAATATGAAAGTGTTTCGCATATTGTAAGATACCGTATCCTCAACGACATCATCGACCAAATCATATTTGTCTTTCCACTCGCTGTGATCACAAAATATAATTTTAAAATAACACTTCAGATATATTTTTTTTACATATTACGCACTCGAAGACAAATGGTCCGATCTCTTGTACGCGCGGCTTGCCGCCCTCGGCGACCTCTTCGGGATTGGTCACATTGAATATGTAGATATAAAAATGCAACGGAAAAGGCGTGGCCGACCAAAGATCACGTATATCAGTGCCCGGCTTGAGCGTGACTTGCTGTAAATGGATAATTCTGAATCCCTTTACAAACATAGATATATTTAAATGCGCTCGCACACCTTCGATATCATAAATTTTAAGATCTGTGGAAATAGTACCCAGCCGAATATAATTGCAAACAGAAGAATGCCAGCGGAGGCTGTTAGCAATTTCATTCGATGGACCAACATCTTGTTGATTAGTTTAAATAAGATTTTTGCTTATTAATTTGTGGCCAAGTGTTTTTATTGCGATGCTACCCGTTCACAGTTGCCGCACTACTGAAAAAACTGATTTGAATCGCCCAACGTTCGGCTGAGGTCTGAGGTTTGAAGTCTGTTTCTAAAAGGCTTACGTGCGAATTTCGCTCTCAACGCATATGGCAAATGTCGCTATAAAACTGCCTCCCCCAAGCCGCCTATTCAATTATATTTATATGCTTTGGTACTGCAAAAACAATCGGAGAATAGAATAGTTATCACATAAGGCATATGTGAGAATATTGCAAGCTGCGTCCGGCATCTCCCCATTGCCGCCCCTGCCTGGTTGACTAATTTAGTCTACAATAATCGGATTGTATTAAGTGGAAAATCAATAATAATTCTCTCTGAATATTGCTATGATAGTGCATTTTTGATTGTAAGATTTGTGAGATTTTATCCAAGCGGCATTTGCTATGCCCTCGGTTTAAGCAGACACAATATTCCTTGGTTGTAAGATAAAGAATTGTTTTAAGAATTAAAAAAAATGTATAAGGTAAACTTGTGTAACTGGAGCATTGGCTTTTATATTCAAAATAAGGTATTTTGTTATTTCGATACTTTATTTATATGTATTATCTTAGAACTTGCCATTCCATTCTACTCTATAAAATACTTAGGTATTATCCAAACTATATCTAACCAAATCCCACTATCTATACAATCAGGTTCCATGCCATAATACGCCATCCAATTTCGTAACATTCCATACCATACCATATATATATATAGTAATATATATTTATGTATATATATCTCGCATGGTTATACTGTGAATACTTTATGAACAGGGCAACTGTTAGTCTTATAATTACAAACATTTTAATTGCAACAATAGAATTCTTATTACATGGCGCCAACACTTGGAATCAGTAATACTCTACGTATTCGTTGGGCTATATATCAACTCTCGCTCAACTGGTTCAACAGTTTCGATAACTAATAAAATCTAAATTTGAGCTATTGAAAGATAAAAAAAACGACCAATAGATATAAGCAAATGGTCTACTGCAAAAAAAAAACCAGTTGAATGAACTGCGCATCGCATAAAAACAGGTATCCATAAAGTCGTGTCGACTTTTATGGGTACAACTTGCAATTTCGGTAAAGCCGACTAGCAATAATGATATCGATAACGATAGCCACAGGCCAAAACTGGCAGCTAGTGGGCTATAATCGAGACCCATTCGTGCGTAACGCTCGCTGTTATTGTTACATACATAAAATGGGAATATAGGCTATATGTTTATAAGTTGTTGGTTGGGCAACTTTTTATGCCTCACTGCGCGAAAGTCGCACGACTTTTAGACTCTATGCAGGGGCAAGGTAAAACAAACAAAAAGAAATAAGGGTGCTCTATTCGGGACTGCCCGACTAGGCAATACCCCGCACCCAACGCCGAGCTATATTTAGTCTCTAGTCTTTTTGTGGTCTTTGATGATTTCTTCTGCCTGTTTATACATTTGCTCAAAACATTTTACCCTATTTGGGCTTTTCAAAGAGGTTCAGGGTATAGGAAAAAAATAACATTTCACATTTGATGGGGCAAGTTATGGAAATTGCAATGACCTATGCGACACCTGGCAAATATTCCATAATTATTACACGCTCACTCTTGACCCAACAAATATACAAAGGTGTCTTCAATTTTAAGTGGGCTTAGTGGGTCTTTTAGCAATTGTCGGCAATTGCAGCTGAGTTAAATAGCCCTAAATATTTCAAGGCCATATTAGGCCTCATATGACAATTACAAATTCCCTTTGGCATTCATTTTTTACTGAAAGCATTTAACTGCAATTTCTTTTACAATTTCCATTGCCTTTAATGACATCACACTAGCCTGTTCTTAGATAATTTGCAAGAGCTGATCGATAAGATAAGTTCCTTATGATACAAATTGTAAGCGTAAGTAGTATTATTAGTGTTCTCCATATAAAGACGTGGAGTTTGAAATATATTTAAATTTTACCTTGGTGAGAATTGTAATTTTATATATAGCAAGTAAGAGGTTCTAGTCGGGAGCTCCCGGGGAATACTCTGAACCCTCTTATTCCAACACCAAATGCAGATCGCGCAACACGCTCGCTTGAAGTAAGGATAAATTTAAAAAAAAGTCAGTGGCAGGCTTCGAACTTCGCGACACACCGCACCACTTGCTATGCCTCTACTTAACAGTCACACCAATAATTTTGCATTATTGAGAAAAAACGAATTAAAATAGCAGCACAGAAAACAAAACAATCGGAATTGCAATGCTGTTGATAGAATTCGAAGCAGACGCGCATGAATGTGTGTGTGTATATGTATACACAAATTCTTGGAATCTGAGCCCCATTAAATTGCACAGTTAAACTTTGGTTCTCTCTTTACCGATCTGATCCAAATATATATATATATCTTGTTGTACCATAGCACATTTGTGTATTCTCAAAAGGTCAATTGCATTTAAATTGTTGGTTAAATTGGTGGCGGGGACGTGGCGATAGCTATTAAACAAAAGATACCCGATATATATATATATATATAATATTCTAAAAGCAACATATCAAGTTTAGTGACTCTAGCTCTTAATATTTATCCAACTTGCTCAAAAAACAGGATTTCGATATTGATTATCGGACACAACCTCGATCTGCGCAGGCACTAGGACGACCTACAGCTTAAATTTCAAGTCGCTAGCTCTTATAGGTGCTAAGATCCTTGCGCTCATACATACGGACAGACAGACAGACAGACAACGGCCATGGCTGTCAGGGCGTAACCTGGTGGCTGGGGGGTGTGGGTTGATTGTCGTTTAATTGTCGCTAGACGACATAAACAGAATTCGAAACTGCATAAAACACATGAAAACAAAAAAAATCGAAAATGAAACTCAAACAATGGCAAAAACCAAACACGTGACGCTGACGTTGATCCAAGTTAACCGAGAAATGGCGAAGCGAAGCGAGAGGGACGCACAACTTATAAAGTGACACAGAAAAACGAGTCGAACGACAACAACAAAAAAAAAAAAACAGCACAAAATCTAAATAAACGCAAATGCGCTTGACAACACAGCCAAAGTTGGTCGCAACTCTCGCTCTCAGACCCAGACCCAGATCCAACCTCTAAATCGACTCGCGCTTTTCTGCTGAGCCAACGATTATTTACAGTCGATTATTGAGCAGCTCAGCAGCTGAGTAACAGCCTCTGGCATTTCAAATGCAAAACAAAATCAACTGCATTGCATTTATTTTTGTTTTTCTTTTTTTTTTACATACATACAATTTACAATAAAACGTTTTACTATGCCATCAAAAAATTGCGTTAGAAATTTCCTTTCAACTTACAAATGTTTTTCTTCTGCATAGTAATATTTTCTTTTTATCGTATTTTTAATAAGAGTTCCTTAGTTGAAAATCTTACAATTTGCCGCTGTTTTTTGATGCGACTTTCAATTTTTCTTTTCAAGTTAATTTTTAAATATGTGCCCTCTATTTTGTACTTTTTGAGTACATGTCGCGGGAGACCTTTGTAAAATGTTATTTTATTAAATTATTTATTTATTTACAATCTCCTATTTAATCTGCATGTGTTCTTTTTTACCCAGAACACAGATAAAAAAAGGGTGAAAAGGTATATTAGTTTTGAGCAAAGGTATGTAACAGGCAGAGGAAAGCATCTCCCCAAAAAGTATATATATTCTCGTTCAGCATTGATACTCGAGTCGATCTAGACATGTTCCTCTGCGCATCTGTCCGTCCATCTGCTTTTATTAGCGTCGATGTCAGATAAAGGAGGCAGAAACTTGAAACTTAAAACGAGCATTTCGGGTTTGTTTTCGATAATCATTCTAGAGTCACCAAATTTCACTACAGGGCACTAACTGGCGTATCGCGTGTTACATTTGGTGTTGGTAGATCCTTCAGGGTATTCGCTAATTGGGCATTCCCGACTAGAGCACTCTTGCTTGTTTGGTTAAAATCCATAGCGAGCGGCATTACCTTGGCGGATGCTGATCCCACACTCTTCTAGCTTAAATGCATGTTAATTATGTGTGGGTCTGTTTGCTTTAACTGCAATCTGCGGCTCTATAACATTTACTAGGCCATCTCCTCGCTCTTGTTTGTCAATTGTCGGCACTTTTATGTTCAATTAACGAACCTCTAGCGAATTGTCAAGATCCTCCTCCACTAATTTGTACATTGCTCTGCTAATTTCTATATTAATTCATAACTCTACAAAATTAGCCACTGTTTACACAGAGATAAACGCAAGAAAAAGACGCTCAATTCGAAGTTCAATTTTCTTTGTTGTGATATTGCCCCGCCCTGTTCAGCATTTGTAATTGATTGGCTGAGTTTTTATTCGCTTGGCGCATGTCGTGTGACAGCCATTAATTGATTATTTTATATACCCACAACAATCTGGTGACTTTTGGTATTAATTTAAGTGAATCATTCATTCGCTTTGAACTATTCAAACAGACACTCACGTGCTATTCAATTCTCAGCAATTGCATAAGCCTTCAACACTCTTACATCATTTAGAGGAACCCACTCATAAGTATCTGATGGATTCCAAGTCAGCAGCACTTGTACTTTTGACATGCATTTACAATTAATGATTTTATTTACATTGCATTCAAAGAAATATATCATTTATCAAATCGAGTGTCATATCTAACCAGAACTCATCTTTCGCCTAGCTCTATGGCACATTTATTTGTTTTATTATTAAATGTTCTCTAAATGAAACTGTAGAAATTATTTGAATGACATTTTGTTTTTAGTTATTTATTTACTAAAACTCGTTCGTTTTTCGTTCTCTTCTCGATTCGAGAAGTATTTTAATTACGTGACTGCAACTATTTATTGTCGGCATTTCAATGTTACTCAATATGTATGCAAAGTTTGACATATTTGCAATTAGACTTTGAAATTTAGCTAAATTAGTTTGCAATGCGACTTGCGTAGGAACTTGAAGAAGCTTGACAAAGGTCAGAGAACACGTTCGGGTTTTCTATGTACGAGTAGTCAAATATACAAGTATTGTCATTAAAAATATGTTGTTATTGCTAAAGTTA